ATTCATTGTGCTTGATTGTTATCGATGTATGGATTCTACACGACGGTTGTTGGAACAGTTCATCTTCCTAATCAATAAATGACGCGGTAGAGACTTTTTTTATACTTTAAGTATAAATTTAGCGAGAAAGCTAGAGAATCAGGTAGCCATGTTTTACCTTTAGTTTGCCTATTAATATTATGCTTAAAAGATCTAAAAGCAACAAAAAATATACTATCAGCTTGGAAGTAATTGATACTCAAAAGTTCATAACTAATGGAGTATGGAACATGGCCAGAAAGAAATAAGCAATGTATGTATTCTTAGGGTGATCCACTCTGGTGTGATATCCTTTTGATGATGGAAATTTATTTGAATACTGAATACTGAATACTTACCTCGTACTTAGCATTTGAGCATGGTTTCAATTGAATGCGCATAAAGGCACCAGATTTCCGGAGAATAGTTGTCCCTCAGTTAGCAACAATGTGCGCGTGCTTGAAATTTGAACTTGAACTTGAACTTGCGCTTAATTTTGACTAGAAATGAAAATTTAACAAGGAAAATTAACTAAGTAAAGGAAAATATCATGCTATTTATTCTGCATGACAACATGTGTACCTGCAACAATTCAATAGAGGCTAGTGCACGTACTTGAGAGCAAAAAAATTAAAATTTAACAATGACAAGCAACTAAGTAAAGGAAAATATCATGCTATTTATTCTGCATGACAGCAGATGTACCTGCAACAATTCAATAGAGGCTAGTGCACGTAGTTGAAAGCAAAAAAATTTAAATTTAACAACGACAAGTAACTAAGTAAAGGAAAACACCATGCTGTTAATTCCGCATGACAGCAGGTGTAACTTTAATATTCCAGCAGAGGCTAGTTTACGTGCTTGAAAGCAAAAGAATTAGCATTTCAGCACCGGTTCGAAACTAAGGTACGTTCATGAGACTTGAACACGTACACGATTTGAGCATGTCAGCATCGGCCAAGGTCATTGAACTGATCTTGCTTTAAAAAAAAATTCAATGAATTTGGATTATTTGAGTTCAGATATTGTGATTGATGTCGATGAAATTTTAGAAACAGCGGCGAGAAATGTCATCGCCAAAGACACTGGGTACGAAACTTCCAGTTTTTTCTTTTCGTATTTTGTGTTCTTTTCCCGCTATAGAAAATTTTGAGCGTCACTTTCTGTAAGCGATACTAATTTTTAAGTGTGTTGGCAGTCATAATCCGAGGGAATTGCGACTAACGACCATGGATTGAGAAGGTCAATGCGAGTGACGCGCCAGCAGCTGATTGGCTATATCAAAGACACGTGGAAAATATCGTTTTTTTCCACCTACGTTGTTACGGCTTTTCTCAGAGTTGGAAATCCTCGTATAACACCGCAGTTTAAAGGATAAATAGAGAATAATACATGAGCACGCGTAGATATGGAATTTCTTCTTAAGTGTTCAACTCGATAGCTCACGAGGTGAGTGCAGCGAGTGAGATATCGAGTTAAACGTGAGAGAGAAATTCCATATCTACGAGCAACCATGTATTATTTTATCTGTAAACACAATAGCCCTTTACTGAAAGAAAAGTCGACTTTATCAATGAATTAAAAAAACGG